CAAATACAACACCAAAACCATCTTACAGACAATACAACTGCCAAAAATGAAACTATTAAAACGGATGATTCAGATACAGTCAACAACAACAACAACAACTACGTTAACAAAAGTATAGATATAAACAACAAAACAAACGTTTCGTTGAGCAACAACAGCAGCAGCAACAACAAAGATGAAAAGATTTCTCCTTCGACAAATCAAAATCAGTATAAAAAGTTGAAAGAAGAAAATGATGATGACGACGAAGAAGATGAAGAAGAAGAAGACGATGAAGATAAAGAGGAAGATGATGATGAAGATGATGATAGTGATAGTGATAACAACGTAGAAAATAGTGAAGACGACGACGACGATGATGATAAAAAGATTATGAATTGTGATAAAACCTCAAATGACAAAACTAAGCTAGTAAACAATTGCAGAACTGATGACGACGACAATGATGATAGTAAGGATGGTAATACTGATGATAATGGTGAGGAGGAGGAAGAAGAAGATGGAGATGATAGTACTGATGATGATGATGACGGTGATAATAAACCTCTCATCAGTCCAATCAGCGAAGGGAAGACTACACAGATCAATCGTGAAGATGGTAATTTCGCTTTGGAAGATGACAATGAAGATGAAGATGACGATGATGATGACGATGACGACGACGATGATGATGATAGCAACATAATTTCTAACATCATCACCACTGATGTCAAAGAAGAACTTTTAAATGCGGCTAGCGATAATAGAGAAGATGTAAACGAAAACATAGACCTCTTAGAAAACACTCAAACACTTACAACACCAATGACGTCACCGTCCAAAGACATAAAAATCACCAACGAAACAATTAACAATGACGCCAAAATCGACAACAACAGCACAAACAACTACAAAAACAACAACGACATAAAAATCAACACGCTGACGCGCCAATCAAATTCAAATTTGAAGTATGACGTCATCCCGGAAGATGAACAGTACGTAGTTAAACGCAAGGGGGCCTCGTACATTGGCGCTATTAAATTCATTGATTCTGACGATGACGATGGTAAAAACTGTGACGACGAGAATGGCAAAACGGAAGAAGATGACGACGATGATGATGTCAAAAGTTATAATGATGGAAAGATGAAACGTGAGAATGAGGAAAATGATAAACTGAAAGAAAATGATACAAAAAACTTGTCTGAAAATAAAATCATAAAGAAGGATGATCATGATGACGATGATGATAGTGATGATGGTGATGATGATGATGAGGTGAGAGAAGAAGATGAAGATGATAATGATGTCTGGCCTGAACCTCCAAGCAGATCTTTCTTATCATCCATCTCAACAACCCCAGTCTACGACTACGATGATGATGACCCCAAAAGTGAGGACTTGAATACTAAAACAGAGTCAACATTCAACACAACGGACATGCTGAACAAAATCAACGATATATTCAACAATACCAACAACAACAAAGACATTAACAATAATGACATCAACAATGGTAATTACACCAATGACAACAGTTTTATAACAGCAAAATCAAAATTTGAAAGGTATATTTACACGGCTTCAACAATTAAACCAGCAGCAGCAACAACAACAAAACTAGTGACATCAACAACAAAAACACTAATTGCTACAACAGCCCAAACAATAACAACATCAAAACCAGTGACACCAACTACAAAAACACTGATTGCTACAACAGCCCAAACAACAACAACAACAGCCAAACCAATAATAGCAACAAAACCAACAATAACCAATTTGTATAAATTGCCAACAACAACAACAGACAATAACAACGACCCTAACTTAACGTCAACAAACCAACAACAATCATTTCAACGAGCGCGAGAAGCATTTGAAAATTTATCAACAAATTCAAAACCAAATTTCAAAACATACACAACAACAACAACATCAGCAAAAATAACATCAATGACATCAACAGCAACGACAACAATTACAAATTCAACGAGAAAAATAACATCAACAGATAATATTACATCATCAACAACAACTATGACAACAACAACAACATCATCATCATTCCCACCGATCTCGCGGACGTCATACACAACAACCGCGCAATTTATGTTACGAAATGCACCAACAACAACACCAACAACAGCAGCAGTTAAACTACAGGCAACACCATATAAAAATGTTATAATAGAAAGATCGGGGGTTGATTTCAACAACAACATCAACAACAACAACAACGTGAATATAATTAAAACTAATAAAGTTCAAAAACCACTTGAAAATGAAGCTGGTGGACACCACCAAGTAAACGAAATAAACTTGAAAAACAACAACAACAACAACACTAATAACATTAACAATAATAGCAACAACAACCAAATAATGAAAGAAAATGAACTAAACAATATTTCTCATTTGATATCGCTGACAACTGCAAAACCGTTTTATTTAGTTAGCAATCCCAAGACAAAACAAATCAATATGAACGCAACAACGACAGCAACAACTACAACATCAACTAATTTGACATCAACAGACAATACAAATGCCAAT